TCTGCATGTGGGATCCGAACCCTCGGGCGGGAGCGCCGCCGCGCTTCCCAAGCGGCGCACTATCCAGTGCGCCACCGGGCCGGCCCCGTGTTTTAATAGTTTTAAGTTGATCTGCTGTGGGGAGAGTCACACCAGGATCATCTGTTCTGCCATCTTGGTGATGTCACTCTCCCATTTTCTATTCTTATCTTATTTTAAACTGACATTTGATTTGCTTATTGATTTTTAGAAATTCTTTAAATATTTACACTAACATTTTGTTTATATACATAGCATATAAATTCTCCCAGTGTGTGGCTTGGTTTTCATTCTCAGGTGGATGATTTTTCACAAACATTTACAAATTAGAAATTATTTTGTTAGACTAGTATCATGTTCGGGGTATATAAAATATAGCTCCCAGAATCCTTAAATCATAGTTTAAAAAAAATGACACTTTTACAGTCTCCCTGAGTAATCCATTCCAATGTAAATAACCACCATAGAAAAATAATCTTGTATTATTATAGAGTTACTAACCAATAGCTCTTATTAAATCTTTTTTAATATATATATTAAAATAATCCAGTTTTGGAACTATAAGACTGACTACATAGGCCACATTGAAATTCTGCCATTGTTAGAAATTATACTTTTCGTGCCATTAATTTTTGGTCTATTTTAGTTTTGTTAAGTTTTTCCAACAGATAAGTTCATTTCTAGCTTGTAGCTTGCCATATGAGACAATTATTGATTTTATTCTCTATTAGAGAATTCTTTGTTTGTTTAGAGGCATGTAAGGTACACCTTACGTGACTGAATTGCCATGGAATATTCTTATAGGAGTTCTGATCTCCTTAGTTGGTGAGTATAATGAGTCAGATAATACTTTGTTTACCAGTTGCGTCTTTTTTTTTTTTTCAGAGAATTCATTTAGAAAGCTTTGTTTTATTTGGAGTTTCGTTTTGCCATTCTTTGTGTGTGATGTTTCATAGGGAACACTTAGGAACTGATCCTGCAATTAGTTTGTCTCTTCCCTTTGATGTGGGCTTGTTTTGATCAGGGACAGTTATAATCTATAAACTTCCACATGAAACTCCTACTATACTACTGTTCACACTGTGGATGCTTAATATTTATTATTTCTTCTTGTTCTTATTTTGTTCTTTCCTGGGTACAGCCAATTACTGTGTGTGGTATGTGGGTGTGTGTATGGGTGTGTGCATGTAAGCCTCCATACACACATATTCTTGGCAGTGTTCAAGAAATTTATTTATCTTGTCAAACATAAGGTTAATTACCATGAAAAATAAAACAATTCAGCTGATCTTTTCATTAATATTGCAGATAAGACTTTCTACTTGAAACATTTGTGAGTAAGGTGAAAGTGAAACAACAAAGATGTGTATCAAAATTTCATCCATACTTGTGTTCAAAAACCGTTGTAGATCCTAATGTCTAATTTATGAGTTTTGGCATTCAGGAGCCTCTACAACTTGAACCCAACCTGGAAGACCTATAACCAAGCCCTTCAAATTCAAAAGTATAAAAGTAAAGACAAATATCTTTAATTCCAGCATATGTAGTGGAATCTAATCCACCCTTTTCCCATTTAAATAGTTTAAATATGATTTCAATAGATATCAGTGAATAGTGCATCTCTAAAGGTGCTGTAGAAACAAGATTCAGGAGCACTTCTACTTGATTTTCATAGGATTATGTCAGCATATGTAGTGGAATCTAATCCACCCTTTTCCCATTTAAATAGTTTAAATATGATTTCAGTAGATATCAGTGAATAGTGCATCTCTAAAGGTGCTGTAGAAACAAGATTCAGGAGCACTTCTACTTGATTTTCATAGGATTATGTGGGGGGGAAGTATTGGGAGATAAGGTGAAAACTTTAAAGTGGTAACAGTAAATCCTAAGGTTCATCTCTGATACTTCTCCATAATCCTTCCATACCCAGTCCATCAATTGGTGCTATTTGATGGGAGTATCAATGTCTGTCTGAGAGGAAAAGTCAAAGTCTTTGGCCTACAAGGCTGTTTATGACCTTGTCTTCTATAACTTCTCTGCTCTCATCTCTACTACTCTCATCTTTGTTTTGGACACACTAACCTCCTTTTTGTCCCTCAAACACTCTACGCAAGCTGCCTCCTCAGAGCTTTACATTGATTATTTTCTTTTCCTGGGATTCTAAACTCCTCCTTTTTTTTCTTTTCCTTCTTGGCAGCTGGCCGGTACAGGAATCGAACCCTGGACCTTGGTGTTATCAGCACCCTGCTCTAACCAACTGAGCTAACCAGCCAGCCCCAATCTATGTTTCTGTTGATGCTATGGCCTCTACCAGAAAGATCTTTTCTCTCCTATCGCCCACTGTGTGTGGCTAATTTTTGTTCTTCCTTTAAAACTTAATCAGGCAATATCTCCTATAGGAAATGTATACTGAACCTAGACTGTGCTTCCAGAGCACATTGCATATAGTGCTATTACTGCATTCACCGTATTATATAGAAATTAACCTTTTATGAGGGAAGAGAGCCATCTAAAGGCAAGGAAGTTGTCTTGTTAATTTCTGTATCCACTAGCATTAACAATAGGGCCCACCACCTACTAAGTTCTCAAACAATTTTTATGGAACCAAACAAATTGGGATGGAGAGGAGGAGGACTTCAGGGATGGGAGATATGAGGTGATGGTTTTTTGTTTTTTTTGTTTTTTTGTTTTTTGTCTTTTGTCTTTTTTTCCGTGTCCGGCAACGGATCGCAACCCTCAGTGTTGCCCCCATACCGGACCGGGGACCGGCAACGGGATCGCAACCCTCGGTGTTGCTCCCGCCCCTCGCTCAGCCAGTGAGCGGGAACCGGTCTGTATGTGGGATCCGAACCCTCGGGCGGGAGCGCCGCCGCGCTTCCCAAGCGGCGCACTATCCAGTGCGCTACCGGGCCGGCCCAGGGTGATGGTTTAAGTTTAATAATGTGTTTGAGGCAACATCAGTCCACCCAAACAGAGAAATTTGAGTAATAGAGCAAGACCTAAAAATACAAGTAGGAAAATCATTATACTTAGGGTGACAGTTTGTGTTGATTATTTCATCAACAATGATCCTGTATATAAGAGAACACAGATTAATGACTGATATTTGGGTAATACCCTCAGTGGGTGGGAGAGAGTAGAGGAGGTTCTCAAAAGAATCAAAAGAAACAGATGTGAAGAAGATAACCCAGAGGAGTAGAGTATTAGGTGGCAGGGGCGGGGGATGTCCAGGGAGGAAAGAAGTGTACAAAGGTGATCTGGAGTCATGCTGTCAAATTTTGCAGAGCAGTTAAGGAGAATTAGAATGGTAAAAAGATTTTCTGAATTTGGCAATTAAGTTGTATCAGTGACCTTTGAAAATTCTAGTAGAATATTTCTTTTTTATTATTATTTAATTTAGTTTGTAGGACAGAATAAGTTTGTTCTCAATTTTTATACTTACAAAAATATATTCTTTACCTGTGTTCAACCAGGACTTTCCCAAGAAGTATGATTTTCTTTACTGGGGAGTAAAGTTCAACTTTGTTGACGACCAGTATTAAATGTTACTTGGAATTAACATGTTTTCTATTTTTTTCTTGTCATCTATTTGTTTTTTCTTTGTAAGCAAACTTATTACATATATTGATTACTTGAAAACAAAATGTTTGATTTCTCTCTTGATGTGTTAATTATCTTAATAGCTAGATTATTTTACAGACCAGTGGTAGTTATTCATTAAGAAGTAGCAAACAAGAGAGTTATTATAGTTATATATTTTCACTTTGCCAGATACGTTTTAAAACTATTATGATTATATCACTAATTTTCAGAAATGTTGGAGCTATGAAACCCTTTCCTTAAACTTTTATATGGAACCCCAACATGCAAATCAGATAAAGCAGAGTTTGTTTGAATTCGTGACAAGGATGTGAAACCCCTCTTGAGAGTTGTAGCCAGTCTTCCAACCTCCTTCTCTCTCCTTTCAAACAACCAGTGGCCCCTGTGACTTTTCCATGGAAGTCTTAGGGCTAATTGAAGCATAGTTGGAGAATCAATGAGTTGTAATACTTTTTGCAAAAATGCTGATAGCAAACCATCTGAATTCTGAAAGTGACAAGATATTTAGACCCGAAATTGGTTGACACTTTCTGTCTATTCTCTTGTTGGGCAACAGAATGATACAACGATAAACAGCTGCTCAGAGCGCAGATAAACTTGTACTAGACTACTTAGAGGTTGGGTGTCCTCCTTAAGGGAAGTTGTCAAAGAGGTTCCTTCATCAGTGGGAGTTTGGACTACTATAACATCTGCAGTCTCTTCCAACACTGATGATTCTCTGGTCTTGTATGTCTAGACTTATCCTACCTAGTAAATATCCTCTACTATGATGTGGGTCTATTTTATCTTTCATTTCTTCTAATTTCTAATATGCTATGCATGACAGCCACTGTTATGATGCAGGAATACTATTTAAACAAATAAGATACAGTCTACTAAGGAAATAGAAAATTGCTATAACGTTTGATGAGTACAATAATAGAAGTAAACAGAGGTTGTTAATGGGATCATATGAAGAGGAAGGACCTAACTAAAGTCAGGTAGGGGCTTGCCATAAAAAAAAAAAAATGCTAGCTTTCTTGAAGAGATAAACTCTTGAGCTGGGGATCCTTTAAGTATGAGTAGACTTTAACCAGAGGCGAACAGGGAAAGGGCTTTCTTTCTAGGCAGAGGGTGGAACATATCCAGAAGCTCTGAAAGAGGACATGCCTGGTTTGAAGACCTGTAAGTAGTTTTGGTGTAGCATGTGAATGGTGACTGGTGAGAGATGACAGATGAAAAAGGACTGTTTGCCATGATAAGCAATTTGGACTTACAAGTGATGTAAAGCAGTTGAAGGGATTTTTTTTTTTTTTTTTGGTCTTTTTTCGTGACCGGCAACGGGATCGCAACCCTCGGTGTCGCGCCTGCACCGCGCTCAATCAGTGAGCGGACCAGTCTCTATATGGGATCCGAACCTTCGGCGGGAGCATGCACTCTACCGAGTGCGCCACCGGGCTGGCCCAGTTGAAGGGATTTTAAGCAGTGTAGTTGCATTGTCAGACTTGAAAAGCACTAGAAGTGTTTTAGAAAGCACTCTGGGAGTGGAAGAGCAGATTGGAATGCAGCTCTATTGGAGGCAAATAGACCAAGTAATAAGCTTTTGCAATAATTCATACAAAAATGACTCAGGATAGTAGGACTGGTATGGGGGTGTGGGGTCGGGGGTGGGATAGATTCAAGGGATACTAAGGAGATAAAAATCAGTAGAGTTATAGGCTAGAGAAAGGGTGAATGCAGGGATGATCTTCAGGTGTCTGGCTTGGCCAAGTGGATAGGTGGATAGTTGTCTATGCTAAGAGAAAGAAATTAAGAAGAAAGGAATCATATAGGTGTTTTGCCTCAAGATACTCATAGTGCCAAGTTGAGCAAAGATATAGGTGGCTTTTATTTTCTTCTATTTGTATTTATGTGTATTTTAAAAATACGATATGAAAGAGTATTACAGGTTGTGTTTTCAAGGAAGTTTATGGAATTCTTTTTAGAAGTCTATTAGATTAAGGTAGACTCTCATTTAGGTAGTTTAGGAATGAGTGATCTGCTTAAATTCATTTTTAGAAAATCCAGAGATTTCTTACACTGCCACTCCTCTGTTAGAAATTTTACCTTTTTTTTTTTTTTTTGTCTTTTGTCTTTTTCCGTGTCCGGCAACGGATCGCAACCCTCAGTGTTGCCCCCATACCAGACCGGGGACCGGCAACGGGATCGCAACCCTCGGTGTTGCTCCCGCGCCTCGCTCAGCCAGTGAGCGGGAACCGGTCTGTATGTGGGATCCGAACCCTCGGGCGGGAGCACCGCCGCGCTTCCCAAGCGGTGCACTATCCAGTGCGCCACCGGGCCAGCCCAGAAATTTTACCTTTTAAGATGTGTGGTAAAGGGCCGGCCCGGTGACGCACTGCTACAGTGCGCCGCTTGGGA